CGGGATGGCGGTCGGGGCCCCGGCAGGGGCATCGCACAGCGTCTGTATGGTGTCGGACTTCTTCTACCCCAACATGGGGGGCGTGGAGAGCCACCTGTACCAGCTGTCACAGTGCCTCATTGAGCGAGGCCACAAGGTCCTGGTGGTCACCCATGCCTACGGCCAACGGAAAGGCATCCGCTACCTCACCAACGGGCTGAAAGTCTACTACTTGCCCCTGAAGGTCATGTACAACCAGTCCACGGCGACGACACTTTTTCACAGCCTGCCCCTGCTCAGGTACATATTTGTGCGGGAAAGGGTCACCGTCGTCCACGCCCACAGCTCCTTCTCCGCCATGGCCCACGATGCCCTCTTCCACGCCAAGACCATGGGGCTGCGGACCGTGTTCACGGACCACTCCCTCTTCGGGTTTGCGGACGTCAGCTCAGTGCTTACCAACAAACTTCTGACAGTGTCCCTGTGTGATACAAACCACATCATCTGTGTCTCCTACACAAGTAAGGAAAACACTGTGTTGCGAGCTGCTTTGGACCCTCGGATAGTTTCTGTCATCCCCAACGCTGTTGATCCCACCGACTTCACTCCAGACCTGTCACGGAGGGATGACTGTACAATAACAATTGTTGTTGTCAGCAGACTTGTTTACAGAAAAGGTAATGGGGGATAACATGTAAGTTTATTTTGGTTATTTTTTTTCTTCAGAGTATGGTAAGAAATGTCTTGGTTAGGTGCCTGTGGCCGTATCTGTGGTACGGTTTGGATGTGAAATGGGAGTTTCACTACTTTGTAAGGTGGCAGTTCTGACCTTTTATGTTTGTGCATTCAGAAGGAAGACATGTACATTTCACTTTCTTATGTTGGGTTCAGAGGGATATCTCTATTGTGATACTGAAAGTTTAGATTTGTATAATGGAAGGTTTGTCTAATGTTGGGAGTATGATTTAGGTCCTAATCGATGCATTCTGTTAGAAGTGTTTTAACTGTTTTTTATTTAATCAAGCAACAGCAACTTAAGTAATTTTTTTTTCATGTTTGTCTCCTAATAGATCACAAGTTTGTGTTTTTTCAGAATTTTGTGTTCACCAGTGTAACTGTCTTAAAAAGAATTTAATTTTCCCTCTTGAATAGAGTTATAGCAGTAGGCTACATCATGAGGAGTACTAAAATCAAATATAATAACGGCTTACCTTAAATTTTGTACTCTTAGGTATAGATTTGCTTAGTGGTATAATTCCTGAGCTCTGTCAGAAATATCCAGAGTTACATTTCTTAGTTGGAGGAGAAGGACCAAAACGAATCGTACTGGAAGAAGTCCGGGAAAGGTACCAGCTACATGACAGGTTTGTTCTGTGCAAGTCTGAACCCTTCAATGTCCTTTAGGGGTGTGGAAGATAAGAGCAACACCCTTTCTGCCCACCCTTCAACCCCCTCCTCCGCCCTCCCACA